CGAGACGTGTCTCGTTCGATTACTGTGCCAACATTGGCACTGATGCTCACTATTTCTAATTTGCTGATACTGGCCGGAGTTTTGGCACATTAACGGGCCAAATAATGAACCAATAATGGCAAATTAACATCGCTAATAACGAGGCAAATCTCGGCCCATTACTGGGATAATGTTGGCACCGATAATTAATTATTTTAGAATTTATAATGGCAAATAAGCATTGCCAATATCGCGACGTGTCTCGGCCGAATACTGGCTCAGCATTGGCACTGATTTTCTACTATTCAAGGGTCGATGTATATAATGGCGAATTATAATTGCCAGTAGTGCGACGAAGTTCGGGTCAATAATGGCAAAAAAAATCTGCCAAGTGTTTATCGTTGTTTACGAGTGCTACAAGACATGCGCATGTGTTTACGTAACCTGAAACTGTAACACATAACCTAAAACTGTTGTTTGCCGAGTAATTTACTTTTTATAAGTAATTAATATATGCCAAAAAAATGACCAGTTACAAGTCAGTGAAGTATCGGGCCTTAAAACGATTACTCAAGAAAGATAGCAGTGATGAATTCGAGCCGCCAGATAAATTGATGAACTTCTCTCTAAGTGGATCGACTTCGGATTTTGTCAGTTCGGAGTCAGCATGTTCAACAATGGACAATAATTTAATTCCACAATATGAGTAAGTTATATTATATACAATATAAAAATAATTATTTTTATCTTATGAATTTTACAATTATATATGTGTATATCTTACAATGAGAAATAATTTTTTCCAGATCGGATCGAAATATGGGAAAAGTGTGTTTGTCAGAGAATCTCCCTTTGCCAGAAAAATCAGATTCACCACCTGTTCCATCTGCAGTTGATGGTGATAATTTTGTGTTGCCCATTGTAGCTTCTCAGAGGTAAATGTTTAATAAATTTATAATATAATTTAATTTCTTGAGATTATTTTTAAAAAAGTCAATTGAAAAATTATTTTGTCTATTTTTTCCTTTAAATAACTCAAATATATTAACTTTAAAAAAATTCAGTTTATTAATTAAAAATGGTCAATTTTAATCAATTTTAGTGACGATTCTCTGTCAGCTTACGATTCTGACGAGATGAAGGAGGCAGAAAAAAACTTTGCAGAAAATTGCAAATTGGACCAAAATGGCCAAAATGACGCAGAAGAACCTGAAACATTGCGTTAACTTTAATAAGCTCATTGTAAGCTCCTTATTGTACCTTCAAAAAGATAAAAAAAATAAAACGTATTTTACTTAATTTTTTCGTATTTTTATTATTTTAATTAACTATTAAAAATTAATAATTTATTTCATTGAAAATAATTGAGCCGATATTGTCCCATTATTAGTCGCCAAGATCGAGCCATTAATGTCTGCCGAGATTTGGCTGCCGAATGTCGGCCGACACTCAAAAACTAACATTCGACCAAGAATCGGCACCAATATTAGGTCAATAATGGCAGCCGATTGTCGGCCGCCGACGTCCAGCCGTGGTAAACATCCAAGAGTCGGCCCAGTTATCGGCCCAGTCTTGCTGCCAACACTCGGCGCCATCGTTGCCAATACTGGGCCGATATTGGGCCGTGTTGATTTTCGCACTTGGGTATATATAAATATACCATTAACTGAGGCTATTATATGGTACGAAAATCGCAATTTTTTTTTTGTTCTATGCCATACGAAAAACAAGTTGTAAATTCATATGTTCATTACATGAACATTTTGCTTCCTCTTTACGATCAGCAAAAAAATTTGCTTCCTCGTGAAGAAAGCATTAACATATACAAAAATAATATAAACATTTGAGTACCTATATATAGATTTGAGTTAAATTTAAAGAATTAATAATGGAAGTTAAAAAATCAAAAATTCACATTTTAGCTGAAATTTCTAAAAATTAATGAAAAATAATATATAATTTATAATTATTTACAATTATATCGGTTTGTTTCAATGCGAGGAACACAATTATTTTAGATTTAAACTTGGAATTTAAATAAATACAAAATTTTTCAGCTAAAATGGGAATTTTTTTTTTTTAACTTTCATTAATTTATTAAATTTATCTCAAATGTATACTTTATATATAACAATCGATTTATTTTCATGCAAGGAATACAATTATTTTATATATAAACTTCAATTTAAAAAATCACAAAATTTTATAGCCAAAATGTGAATTTTTGATTTTTTAACTTTCATTAATTCTTTAAATTTACCTCAAATGTATACTTTATATATATCGATCCATTCGTCTTGACGTAAAGAATACGATTTTATTATATATAACCTTAAATTTTACTATTTAAAAATTTTTTCGATTAAAAAAAAATTTTTGGAAAAAAGACGATAAAAATTTTTTTTTTGGGGTATTTTTCAAAATCCTTTGGTCAGATATGAGATATATTAATATGATAAATGAGCCTACCAAATTTTATCTAAATCCATTAAAATCTGTTAAAGTTATCTTCTAAACAAAAAAGGGAACCACACACACACACACATACATACATCCGGACAATTGATCAGGATCTCATATAACATGTTTCTATATAGAAAAAAATTTGTTTCCGCCACTTTGAAAATTTTTATAAACGAAAGGACTACAAAGCTTCCTCCACGAGGAAGCAATATAAGTTCGTGAATCATTAAGAGACTACCCTAATAACACAATATATCTTGGGATATATTGATAATATCCCGCAGATATCCTAGGGATGTCTTATGGATATCAAAAGGATCTCTTAAGGATATCCAAAAAATCGGCGGTTTGGATATCCTTTGGATATCCCATGGATATCTGAGGATATCTACAGGATATCTTCTGGATATCCCATGGATATCTTCTGGATATCTCTATAGACTTTCATAAATGTCCTCCAGATATTCCATAGATATCGTCAGGATATCCCACAGATATCATCAGGATATCCCATAGATATCGTCAGGATATCCCACAGATATTTTCAGGATATTCTCAGTATATCTTCTGGATGTCAAGAAGATATTCTCAGGATACTGTTTTTAAAGTAATTATGAGACTACGAGTGAGAATATTCTGTGAATTAAATTTTATATAAATAAAATAAAATGCAACTTGTTTTTTGAGAAAGTTGTTTAATTTGAAAAATTATTAACTAATTTTTTTCTCATTCGTGATTCATTCCTTTATTCATATGTTTAATATTGTCAGAAAATAAATTGGCTTTAAACAATATAAATTCTTCCCCGCAAATAACGAATAACTATTAATATTATAATTATACATTAAGTGCATGAGTTTATTTAAAAACTTTGAAAAATGCGTTTCAAATCTTCATTTAAAATAAATTAGAAGCTCATAAAATTTTTGTTTTTATTATTCATTATATTAGCTTAACAATTTTAACCTTTAAAAATATATGTTGAGATATTAAATATTCTGTGAATATCCTAAGAATATCCCACGGACATCCTGAGGATATCCCATGGATATCCTGCGATATAATATCCAATAGATATTTTGTGGATGTCTTAGGGATATCCTGTGGATATCCTATGGATGTCCTGTTGATGTCCCACAGACCGGCGGTTTGGATATCCTATGGATATCCCAAGATATCCTGGGGTCCATTCTAGGATATCGACCATTGATATGGATATCCTATGGATATCCTTTTGTTATGAGGGTAGTCTGTCACTTTGAAACGAGACACTTTTTCCGTAGAATTTTAGTTAACTTTCTTTAATAACTTAAAAACATCGTGGAAATATTGAAAATGAATCATAAAGTTTTTAGAATTCAGTAATTATTTTTGATTTAATGCTAAAATATATTAAAAATAGATGCGGTTGAAATTCAACAAATAATTTGCAGTCAATTTCTGCCTAAAAGTTGACCTCAATAAACGTATATTGTATATTTTCTTTTATGTTTCTTACTAATTTAAAAGTGACGTTCATTGCAAAATTTTTTTCTCTTAAGCGGTGAAAAATTTCGTCATGTATTATATATACAAGGACAGTTCGCTTCTTGTCTTTCAGTGTTATAATCGTGAGTTCGTTTGTTTGCGAAAAAATAAAATAAAATTTTTTTGATTATAATCATTTTTTGACAATCATATAGAATATTTAACAAACAGTTTTCTAAATTTTATTAACAATTTTAAACTTTATAGAAAAATAAGGCAGACGTTTGTTTCAAAACCCGAAAATAGGCACTTCTTTACTAATTTATTATGGTACAAAATTTGTGTTTGTTTATAAAAATTTTTTCTTCAAATTAAACTCTGCGTGTGGAAATTTTTAAATATATATTCTGAAAATAATGTTTAAAAAAATGCTGAAAACTTATATTATTATAGTAATTTTATTGCAATTGTTATTAGATTTTTTTAGGTTAGGAGAGAAATTTTAAAAAACTATTTTTAATTAAACAAATTTTAGGCTAATTAAATAACTTAATAAGTTTTATAATTTCTTTTTAAGTTACTTTTAAATAAAATAGTTTTTAAACTAACTGGAAAACTATTATGAAAATAAATGTTACCTTTTGAGGTTATGTTGTACCCGACTTATTTAAACAAATTTTTTTAGTTATAACTAAAGTTTTTTTTTTTTTTTTTTAATTTTTTCCTTTTTTCGACATGCGGAATAGGAAGTTTTGTTAATTTTTGTTTATTCTTAAACAAAACTTTATTTCGTCAGAAACGAGCTTTGACGTCAACAATATTGTTAATTTATTATTAATTTACCATAAACCAAATACAAAATTTAAAAATCATCAAAAATAATGTCAATAATGTCAAATAGATTTGATATATTTAACGTCGAAGTATTTAAAATTTTTCAATGCGTTTAATAGTCAAAAGCAAATAATTTAACAGCTGGTAACAAATTTTCAATACAAACATGAATTTTTATCATAATTTACATATTATAGAACGATATGTATATATATATATAACGGAAAATCATAATAAATTTAAGTTTTAAACAATTAACGAATTAAAAATTTTAAGTACTACAATTATAGAAACATTTGGCAAAAATGTTTAAGTTAAGCATTGTTCATTTTCTTGTAATTTTTACATTTTCAAATTTTAATCAAATCAAAGGACATGAAAATGGTAAAGTATACAAATTATTTAAAAAAAAAAAAATATGTTTGAATTAATTAATAAAAGTACTAATACAATAAATTTTCAAAATAAAATAATACCAGTAATTCTTGTTTTTTTGCTAATTATTATTTTGTTTATAGTTTTGAAAATTTCATTTTGTATTCAAGTATTTTGTTCATAATAATAATAATAACATTTCAAATAAATAAAAATCTAAATTTTGAAAATGAAAAATTATAATTTTTTTTACTAATAAAAATATAATGTTCTTAGCATTTGAAGATGGCGATTATGAACATGGACTAAATCAAAATGTAACCTTATCGTAAGTATTTATTTATCTTCATTAATTAAAAAAAAAATAAATTAAATTCATTACACTGATGTAATTTCTCGCCTTGGAGAAGGTCGATAAGCTTCCATAGCGTCATAATAAAGGGCCCAAAAAGGCGCGAATATTTAAAATAGTAACATTTTTACTCGCCTTTTAGTATAAATAAAAACGAATTTTTTTTTGGATTAAGAAAAAGTGCAAAAAACATTTAGAAAATATTTTTAAATACCAAGCAATATTTAACTATTTTACATATATTTCATTTTAGTGCAATAAAAGTGTTTGATTATTTTTCAAACCAACAATTTTTTTTTTTTATTTCAATTTAAAGTAAAAAAAACTTTTTTATCTTGAATCGAAATGTTTTTTATGCATATTATTTTCCTCATAACAAAAGGATATCCCTAAGATATCCTTAGGATATTCATATCAATGGTCGATATCCTAGAATGGTCCCCAGGATATCTTGGGATATCCATAGGATATCCCTAGGATATCCAAACCGCCGGTATGTGGGACATCAACAGGACATCCATAGGATATCCACAGGATATCCCTAAGACATCCACAAAATATCTATTGGAAATTATATCGCAGGATATCCATAGGATATCCTCAGGATGTCCGTGGGATATTCTTAGGATATTCACGGGATATTTAATATCTCAACATATATTTTTAAAGGTTAAAACTTATAAGCTAATATAATAAATAATAATATAATATAAAGAAAAATCTTATGAGCTTCTAATTTATTTTAAATGAAGATTTGAAATGCATTTTTCAAAGTTTTTAAATAAACTCATGTAGTTAATGTATATAATTAATATTAATAGTTATTTGTTATTTGCGGGGAAGAATTTATATTGTTTAAAGCCAATTTATTTTCTGACAATATTAAGCATATGAATAAAGGAATGAATCACGAATGAGAAAAAAATTAGTTAATAATTTTTCAAATTAAACAACTTTCTCGAAAAACAAGTTGCATTTTATTTTATTTATATAAAATTTAATTCACAGAATATTCTCACTCGTAGTCTCATAATTACTTTAAAAACAGTATCCTGAAAATATCTTCTTGACATCCAGAAGATATACTAAAAATATCTGTGGGATATCCTGACGATATCTATATGGGATATCCTGATGATATCTGTGGGATATCCTGATGATATCTGTGGGATATCCTGATGATATCTGTGGGATATCCTGACGATATCTATGGGATATCCTGACGATATCTATGGGATATCTGGAGGACATTTATGAAAGTCTATAGAGATATCCATAAGATATCCTGTGGATATCCTCAGATATCCATGGGATATCCAAACCGCCGATTTTTTGGATATCCTTAAGAGATCCTTTTGATATCCATAGGACATCCCTAGGATATCTGCGGGATATTATCAATATATCCCAAAATATCTTGTGTTATTAGGGTTATATCGATTTACATATACAAGCTCTCAAATATTTTCTCGTTTTTCGAGAATTACAAATAAAAAAAAAAAGTAATTTAAAGAAAAAATTAAAAAAAAATTTTTTTTTCAATATTTAGACGATCCAAAAGAGGAGTCGTGAATTTGTATTTAATGATGAAATGTGGCAATAACAAATGTAAACCATTTTCCTACAATGGACATGGTTGTTTTTGTGGAAAAGGAGGCTCTGGAATACCTGTAGACGATATTGATAAGTACGTATAGCAAAAAAGCGAAATCATTTTTTCTTTCTATAAAACATATAAACTTATTTAAAAAATTTTTTTTTATTTTATTTATTATTTTTAAATCAATTTTCAAAATTATCTGTATAAAACACTGTAGAAAAGTTGTGAGACTTAACTATAAAAAATTATTTACTTATTTATATATAAATTTAAATTTGAAATAATTATCAATTATTTTTTATTTTAAAATCTTAATATGTGAAATATCAATTTCAAATATCATTTAAAATTACAATTATTGATATCTTATTATGCAATTATTAACAAAAAATTAATAAAATAAATTTTTAATTTATTCAATGAATTTTTTTTTTAATTTATAAAAATTAAAAATATGTAAACAATATTTGCAGATGTTGTAGAATGCATGATATATGCTACTCGAAAATTAATGTTTGTATTTCTTGGTTCTATTATTGCATGCCTTATGAATGGGAGTGCTCCGAAAAAGGAAAGCCAATTTGTGGTAAGTAAAAAAAAATTTCATTAACTTTAATTTTAAAAAAATAAGAAACTCATTCAAATTTGAATAAACTTAAAAAAAAAATTATATCCACTTTTCAAGAAATAGAAAACGTTTTTTAATTACAACTTTTAATTACAATGTTTTTTTAATGAATAAATTTTTTAACACATTAAATATTCAATTTTGTTTTAGATTATGAAAAAGAAAAAGACAATGGAAAATTGTCAATTGGTCAAGAATTGTGTAAATGTGATCGAGATTTTGCTTTATGTTTATCACAATTCTCTTGTCCAGAAGAAAAAGCCAAATGCATTCCCGGTCATGGAGAGAAGCAAATTAATGAAACACAAGAATTCATGACAAAGGAAAAGAAAAAATTATGTGATCAAAATGTGTGTCCCCGTATTAATAGCAAAAAAATGTTTGTTGTTTGAAATAGAAAAAAATCTTTTAAACAATTAAATAATTTTTTATTTATGTAAATATTTTATAAAAGCTTAAATTTGTCAAAAAATTTTGTAAAAATAAAAAAAAAAGAAAACAAATTTTAGAGTATTCTTAAGTTTTTTTTTTGTAGAAATTTTTTTTACCTTTTTCCTGTTTGAATGATTTTGAAAAACAATTTTCAATAATTTTTTGCGTAGTTTGTAAAATTTTTTTTCTATTATATTTTTTAGATTGTTTTTAATTTTGATTGTTGATTTAATTCTACTTACTTTTAATTAATAATTATGACAGATTTTTTATTAAAAATTATAGTTCCAGATTATGTGAGACCAATATTCTTGAAACCGATATTAAGATTATTTTGAATTTTAAAGGGAATCTTTTCTTCAATTGTTATTTTTAAGAAAATAATTTTAAAAACAGATAAAAAAAATTCGATATTTTTGAAAAAAAAAATTAATTAAATCCCCAAAATTTAAGTTCTTTATGATATATGATTCACTTTCAAAAACAATGTTTTTATCAATCTGAGAATTTGAGGGTATTTTTTGCTTAAATCAATTCAAGTTCTTTTTATATTACGATTTGGTTTTCTAACACACCCATTTTAAAACCGGAGAAAATAGGGCGTAAACTCTGGCCTATAAATCACTCAAGTCTTCATATATCTGAAAAATAAATAAATTGTCATTAATATTTTCGTTAAATTTTGAAAGAAATTTTAAATCATTTAAATTAAATATACCTATAGATATTTCTATACATTTAAATCTTATATAAATATATCACATATTTCTTTAAACAAAATATTTGTGAAAATATGTCTTCTTTAGATTTTAATAAACGAAAACAACTCTTTTAGAAGTGTCTGCAAAGCTGTTGTCAACAGACAAAAAGAATTTTCACCACGCAAGTGAAATCTCGAGCACGACATGCCATTTATGGTTCCAGAGAGTCGTAAATATCTGCCCCTTGTCCAACTGGGATAGTCTTTTGTGCAGTAAATCACTGCTACTCCTTCAAAGTGCATATACTATTGTATACATATAGATACCCGCAAAAGAATTAAAAGTTAAAAGTGTCCTAACTTTTTTTTTCTTTTTTTTTTTTTTTTTTTTAGCTTTGCGAGGTCACTCTCTCATATTTTTTAAAAACATTTTATACAAATCCCAATGGAGTTGTTCCCGCAGTGCGTGATGACGAGTAGTTGAATTGTCATGGATGAGAGGGATCGACAGGTTCCCAGGGTCAAAAATGTATATAAAATAAAAGGACCCCCTGATGATTTGCGGAACTTCCGTTTTTACGTCATATACATTATGTCCAAGTAATAAAAGAATCTTTGGTTCTTTTGCACATTATCGTGTTTGCTTCCTCAAGAGAAAAAAAAAAAAAGAGAAATACCCCAAAAGAATTCAGAGCCTTTTTCCCTCACTCTATAAAGAAGCATTTTGAGTGCAACCGCGTATATACTTTCTGAGGGATGTTTCGTGTTATAGGGGGTCTTTCAAGGTTTAATGTAATATTGCAAAGGGGCAATAAATAGCTAAGGTTTCAGAAACTATTTTCGCGAAAGCACCGCTTTTTTTTAAAAGGCGTGAACAGAAAGCAATTGTTGCGGTGAAAAAAAAAAAAAATAATTTTCTTGGAAATTTTATATATACAGAAAAATAGTCTCAAAATCATTTTTCTACGAGTATTTCAAAAAAAAAAATTTTAATTTAAGCTTCTAAAAAATTGGTATATCCTATAAATGTCACCGAAATCGTTGATTATAAATATGTATCTGATAGGAAAATTTAAAATTTAAGAATGTTGAATTCATATAATTCGCAAATTAGGAGTTTTTCGTATATTCAAACAAACAAAAAAAAGGGAATTTTTTATTATTCAAAATTAATTGAGTTCATAAAATAAATCTTAATGAATATTAGTTTTTTTTTTCTATATAGTATATAAATATTGGTAGAGAAAAAATACTGATATATAGCCAGCAGTAAAAGGGAAGTTAACTGGTTAAATTTACAGAGAAGCTAATTCTTATTAAGACCAGACAGCAATTTCATTGGATTTAAGGATGCAATAAAAAAAGTATATATATATATATATAGGTATTTGTATCGAAATTCGATTTGCATTTTATTTGTCTTTCACTATATAGACTGGAAATCGGTTTTTTGTTTTATTGTCATGGATTCCTTAAGCTTACGCCTTGCACTATTCAAGCCTTGATAGAAAATTATTATTACAATCACAATAAAAAGCACTCAAGTTTAATAGACCTTATAAAAGGGAGATATGGCAACAGTGAATCACCTTTTTTTCAAAGCAGTAGTAATTTATTAATTAAAAAAAAAAAAAATGTTGATTAAACTAATATTTATTAGTTATAAATTTTAAATAAATTTGGATGATTTTATTCAAAAGTTAAAATAACATCTGCTTCTAGCTGGCGTATCTATATAATTTTAAAGTTAATAATAATAATAATAACAAAAATAATAATATACATTCTTTAAAAAATATATTTAAGGAGAAAATTTTTTTTATGAATTTTCAGTATCAATTCTGATAAGGGACATTATTTGTTTTCCTCTATATATATAAATGATTGCACACTGCTGCCTTTGAAAGAAAATGACAAAATTCTATGATCACTTACTTTTTTTACAATCTCAATATAAAATCTCTATCGAAAAATCTGCAATTATTATCCTTCTTTTTTTTATTATACCTACATATAGAGCTATAACATATAAATATATATATATATATATATATAGCTGAACTTTTTTACTAACTCTTCTTAATTTATTGGATTTCGTTATTGCATATTTGGATCGAAGTATTATAAAATGCCACAGGAATGTGCGCGCAAAGGAAGCAATATATATATACAAACGAACGGAAAAAAAACTAAAATCGTGCAAAGTTGATAATTTACAACAGTGAAAAATACGGAAAATTAAAAACCATTAATCTTGCTTATAACGCCTATCAATTGCCTTTTTACTGCCTACCATTAATATCACTTTTAGATATAGTCCAACACAAACTATATATACTATTCACCTTATTCCAGGGAAAGGTGGATCTTGTTCAACGACCGCCACTTTCGAGTTAGATTAGTTTTTATGACCTCTAAAAAGTTAAGAATCTACTTGCTTTACTGATGATTTTATGTGAAAATCTATTAATGGGTCAACTTTTTGTGATATAAATTCAAATTACAATTCAAGTGGTTTGTCAATTTATGATAATTTTTGAAATGAGAAAAAAAAAATGCCGACAAAAAGAAAAAATTTCCTTTAGGAAACATTTAACAAAACATTTAATAATATATAATAATATATTATTAAATGTTTGCATTATGAAATTATGATAAATTTGATTATAAATTTAGAAAGAAAAAAAAAAATTTTTTTGTGAGGAAATATATGAAAATTTTATTCAGTGACCTCGAAGCTTCTAAAGCGTCTCTGTAGAAGGCGCTGTTGACCCTTAGTAATAACTATTTTTATCATTTCTTAAAAAAGTTTTATTTAAACAACAGTTTTTTGTAATTTTTTTTTTTAATCGGTTTTACTGCAGCAAAATGTAAATAAAAATATATTATATATTTTCACTATATAAGTCGCAGAGTTAATGTGTTGGAGGTTTTAAACTTTCCCGCTACTTGTCCCTCTGTAGTGACGCTACAGAAGCTTTAATGCCTATTGGTCCCTCTTCAAGGACGCTATGGAATTAAACAACGGGTTTTTTTTGTATAACAAATCTTTTTTAAAAAATGAGTTATTAAAATAAAAAATACAAGTAAAAAAAATAAAAATAAGTAAAATATAAGTAAAGAAAATAAGAAAAACAAACATCTGTAGCAATAACGGTACTATAATTTACTAACTGAAAGAAAAAGGCTACAAATCATTAGGAGAATAATAAATTCGATCCCAGTAAAGACTTTTGGTTTATTATATCCAACCCTAAAAACAATTTTCCACAACGGATAGTAAAGTAATTAAATTTTTCTGATGGACTCAATCGACCCCATTGGGAAAGTTTTATCTCATAACGTTCAGTTATTTGAATTGTCAGTTTAATATGGTTAATATTGCCAGCCAATGTGGTATTGGGGTTTTAGAATGATGGTGATTAATATGCGGGGTAATCCTCATTACAAAACAGAATGAGAGAGACGATTGGTGGCTTGAAGAATGGTATGGGATAAATAGAGTGAGAGAGAGAGAGAAAGGGGGGAGGAGATGGGCGGATAGCACGAGGGTGAAATTAGTGGAAGATTAGTCTCGGACATTAGGGTCACTTAGCGTAACAGTAACACCCGGTTTCTCATCGACGTGCACAGGAGGCTTCGTAACATTGCAGTGGAGCCACCAATCTAAATTTAAATCTACGCTTCAACACGTACGACCAACGACGCTATTTCCCAGTCATTGGACTTTCTGATAATCGGAATTTAATCCTTAAGTTGATAAATATAGAAAAAGGATATTATTATTTGTAGATTCATGAAATCAAAATTAAAACAAAAATATATTTAAAAATGTATATAAATACTAAATTTTTTTCTCTTATGTTTGTTCTGAATTTCAATTATAAAGTATATTTTATTCATTGTCACCTGTATATAGAAATTTTAAAACCTGTTTCCATTTTTAACTAAAAACTAATTCCAGATTAGATATATGTAACACTAATATTAAACAGTTAACAAAAATTTGTAATTTTTGAATAAAAATCATTCAATAAATCGTCAAAATTTAAGTATACTTTATAATATTATTCACTTTCAAAAACAATGTTTTTGTCAACCTGAGAATTTGAGAGTAATTTTTGATTAAATCAATTCAAGTTATTTTTTTGTTACGATTTGGTTTTCTAACACACCCATTTTTAAACCGGAGAAAATAGGGCGTAAACTCTGGCCTAAGTCACTCAAGTCTTCATATCTGAAAATTAATAAATTGTCATTAATATTTTCGTTTAATTTTGAAAGTAATTAAAATTTTTTTTAAATTAAAAAAGTTGTTAAACATATCTATATTTCTATTTATTTATATTTACAAAGATATTTCACATATTTCTTTAAACAA